AACATCATTAAGAGTTAAAGGATCATTGGGAGAAGGTTCTTGATCACTTAACTCTTTTGATGCATCACCATCTTCAATGGCCATGAGACATAAGTTGGCCACTTCCTCCGTTTCCGAGTCTTCACTCCCGGAGCCGTCGTTCTCCCAAGAAATGTAGGCACGTTGCTTCTTCGGTGCCCTCTTGTCCTTCTCGTTCTTGAGCTTTGGGCACATTGGTTTGATGTGTCCAATTTCACCACACCCATAGCACTTGGGTGGAGTGTTCTTCTTGGCTCCCCTCTTGAGCATCATCTTCTTGAATTTTCGTACGAAGAGTCCGAGGTCGGTGTCGTCGTTGTCATCATCTTCATCATCAACGTTGTTGTGGGATGATGTTGTTGCGGGTACAGCAATAGACCTCTTGCTCTTCTCTTCAACCACCTTTGAGAGTTGGGTGGTTTTGTAGGTAATGAGGTTACCTCGAAGAGCATCATTGGTCGTTGTTTGGAAGTCGCGTCCTTCTTCAATAGCGTCCACCTTTGAACGCCATTTTGGGGATAAGCTTCGTAGCACCTTTCTTACAAGTTCTCGGTCGGTGTATGTCTTCCCAAGAAGATTGAGGGGATTAATGATGTTAGAGAACCTCTCAAACATTTCCTCAGTCTTCTTGTTTTCCTTCATTGAGAAGAGTTCGTACTCATGGGTGAGATGGTCGATTTTGGCCTCCCGAACCTGCGCGGTTCCTTCGTAGGTGACCTCCAATTTCTCCCACATTTGTTTTGCGGTTTCACACCGCGAGATTTTGCGGTAGTCATCCACGTTAACACTGCAATAAATCATGTTTATTGCCTTTGCGTTGAGCTCCATCTTTTTGCAGTCTTCGTCGGTGAACTCCTCTTCGGTTTTGGGAACGTTGACTTCACCGACTTGCGAAGGATTGTTCTGGTCCTTGGTCTAATCGATTTTCCTCCTGCCTTTAATCGATTAGTTCACACAGAGCATTCTAATCGATTAATCCCTTTGCATTAATCGATTATTTCCGCGTAGAAGGAACTCTGCGCAGACTGCATTAATCGATTATTGTCACTGCATTAATCGATTATTATGCTGCATTTTTTCATCCCAGCTTCTTTTCTTGGACCAACGGATTTATTCCTTCAACCCCTTTATAAACCTCACTCCTTGGTAATTTTTAGTATGAACAAGCACTCCTAAAATCCCCAATTTTGAAGTTATAATCCTCCATTCATTTCTTCCTCAAATTGATATATTTTGAGAGAAAACTAAGTGTTTTCAAGAGAGTGTTCTTGTCATCCATAGAGCTTAATCTTTTCTCATTTCTACTCTTGTGAGAGTTATTGCTGAGAGGTTGAAGAAGATTGTTCTTCTTGTTGTTCAAGGGTTATGTGATTTAAGTCTTGGTTGTGAAGTCTTGTAGAGGGCATATCTACGAGCGATTGTGTCGAGGCTTGTGGGATTCAAGTTCTCGAGTTGTAAACGGTTTGTTAAGCACCCGTAAGCTTAACGAAAGTAGTGGTGGCTTCGAGAGAGTCTCTCGGGGAATTGGACTAGCCACGAGGTGGTGAACCAGTATACATCGGTGTGTTCTTTGCCTTCTCTCTTTTATTTCCGCTGCACTTACGTTTATATTATTAATCCTGCGAAAATCGGTAATCATTCTCAACAACTCTATTCACCCCCCCTCTAGAGTTGCACGCATTGTCTAACAATGAAGAGTTAAAGCTCTATGGATGACAAAATCTTTAGCACTCAATAAAATATTTCTAACTCTCAAAATAATATATTTGATGAGGAAGATGGAAGCAAGAAATGAATATAGCTCAATGAAGATATTGGAGTGCAAGAGTTGTGTCTTAAAATGAAGGAGAAAGAGGGATTAAATAGGCTGAAGAAAATAGAACCATTGGAGCAGGCTGAGAATAGGCACCAGACAAAATTAATCGATTAAAGTGGAGAAATTAATCGATTAGACAGCGCTGTCTAAACTAATCGATTAAGGTGAAGAAAAAAATCGATTAATTGGAAAAAAGTCTTCAGCGAAGAATGCAATCTTAATCGATTAAGTTTGATGGAAAAATCGATTAGACTGCGCTGTGAGAACTAATCGATTAAATGAATAAGAAAAATCGATTAATAATGAAGGCTTGAGAAATCCGGAACTGGATCTAATCGATTAATTTAGAAATATTAATCGATTAAAGTGGAAATAATGCGCAAACATAAAGGGCCCAAGCAAGGTGCGATTGGAAGCCTTTGGCTTCTTACTCGTTGTTTGGGACAACGGGAATATCAACGGACGCTCCTCATATCTCCTATTCAATGAATTTGAGTAGGGGAGAGAAAAAGAGTCCAAAAATTATTTTGTGTGTCAAACGATGTACAAGAAAAATATTTAAAGTATATTTTTCTTACAAAAATTTTTTTTGTATTCTTAAAAAAATGTATTTAAGAAATTTTGACACGCTTATTTTGAAACTGACTCAGTCAAATATTTTTAGACAGAAGAAAAGTAATTTTTCAACTGACTCAGAAAATAATAATTTCTATCCCTTAAAAATAATTTGTTTGTGCAGAAAATATTGTCATCCTTACAAAGTTCCTAGACTCAATAAAAAATAAAAGGTCTTCGGAATCTTTACTTCACTTCAAAAAAATTTCTGCGTAGGAGTAAGCCTTGATTTTATTTTGATACGCCTCTTTGCTTTTCTCGATACGAAAATAAATTTTCGATCAGCTTGAAATTAATCATCCTGTTTGTCATTCATCAAAACAAAAAAAATAATCCAGAAGGAATAGTAAAGGGGTTTGAACTCATGTCCAACAATTTCCCCCTTTTTGATAATGACAAACATAGTTGAGAAAGAGCAAAGGAAGAGTTCAAAAATTACTTCCTTTTAAGAATAATTCCCCCTGCAAGGTTAGAGAAGAGAAAAATATCGGAGTAAAAAGCGGAAAAATGTTTTTAAGAAAAAAATTTCTCAACTATCCCTCCAAAAACGTTTTTAAGAAAAAGTTTTTATCAACTATCCTTCCTTCCCCCTTTTGGCATTATCAACCGATAACCTTCCCCCTTAATCTATGCCGGGATATTGAAGGATAAATTTGCAAGAAATTTTCTTAAAAAAAACTTCTAACCGGAATGCCACAAAGGGACAATATGTTCTAAAAGAGAACTACATTGCCAAACACACAAATACATAATTAGCAACATAATCATTCATCAAAAGAGTCATAACAATAACAATAGCAAATAACAAAGTATCATAATAAGTCAAGATAGAAGGAATATAATCAAAGAGAGTTCGCCAGACGAGCTCCTCCACTAAAGCTGTGACGCGGGCCACGGTATTGCTCAAAACGAGTCATCCTCTCGTTGAGCTGGCGAACATCATCTCTGATGCACGTGAGAGTATCGAAGATCCTCTTCACCCAAGAAGGTTCTGGTGCTTCTTCTCTTGGACGAGTCCTGCGTTCACGAGTGACGTGCTCCGTGGCTCGACTTCCTCCGGCACGAGATGACTCAACTTGAGTCTCATTTTGGCTCTCTTCTTCGTCTGCGACTATCAGGTCCAGATTTGGTGTAGCATTGCCCTCCTCACGGTACACGATCCGGGAAAACATGGCTTCAGTGATGAAACAAGTTTTCTTGACCGGCACCTGAGTGTCCCGAGTAAAGTCTATTTTGCAATGAGCAAGGATATGCATGATGGGGATGGAAAAACGGAGATGGGAAAAACGAGTGCCATCGCTAAGTGCAACGATAAAGAAGTGAACCCAATCAAATTTGACATTGTTCAACAGGACGTGAAACAAACGAATATCGTCTTTGTTGACAACGCCATGGTTCGAATCACGGGGCAACAAAACATAGGAAAAGATGTATTGTTGGACGCGTTGAATTAAAGTGAGATTAATGACACTCGGGTTGCTAGAATTTCTAAACTTGTGGTCACGATGATCTAACCCGAGTTGTCGCCAAATTGCCTCATCTTGGAATGTTTCATCCAATTTTTCGGTAATTTCACCTCGACGAAGGCCAAACAGAGAAGTGAAACCGGCACCGTCAATGAAAACGGTTTTGCCGTCAACATAGGAAATGAGAGAAGGCAAGTCTCCCTTAGTGGTACGAAGATTTGCATAAAATTGACGTATAAGATTTGGAGAAAAGAATTCATACGTCAAATAGATGAAACGAAGCAATCCTTGCTGAGAGAAAAGAGACTTACTCGGGGCATAGGTCGCCGATTTGAAGAGGTCCTTGTTCACGATCTTAGGTGAGACGATCTCCTTCGTGAGAAAGATGTTGTGGAACCTCTCGGCTGAAGCCCCAATGTTGAAGGCGAGTCCGGTTTGGATGTGAATGTACTTGCTCCCTTCACGACGCCATGGCCTCTCACCTTCTTCTGCCGCCGATTCTTGACGTGATGAAGCGTTCTTGCACCTGGGCATCCTTCCTCTTTGAACTTGATGGATTTTGGTGAAAAAAATTTAGGAGATTGTTGAAGAAGTAGGCGGATTTGATCGAAGGAGGGGGCTAGGGTTTTGCCTATCTCTGGTTCTGTAAAAGAGAATGGCGAAGAAGACGAAGACTGGTTGATTATAAAGGAACCAATAATCGAATATTAATTGATTAAAAAAAGGTATTTAATCGATTAAGGAACACAGCCGAGGCAAATCGATTAAATTAAACTAATTAATCGATTAGAAGTGGAGAAGAACAAAAGACGTTTGCGCTTCAGGCTATTAATCGATTAAGATGGACAGATGAGTCTAATCAATTAATTTAACAGGATTAATCGATTAAAAGTGAAGCAGAGCTAAAGAAGGTTTCCTTGAAGGATTTTAATCGATTAACAAAAGGCCAGTAATCGATTAAGAGGGACAGAGGCGACTAATCGATTTCTCTTCGAGGAGTAATCGATTAAAACTTGTTTGACAGAAAAATCATCAAGTCCAATTCGATTGAATACCAAGGGAAGAGATACCTGCAATAAAAGCCCTGCAAAAAAGAATTTATCGCGCCTCCGACGCTCAAATTAGTATAGTCAATAAAAAGAATGGATTAGTTCATAGAGGTATCCAAAATTCCAAGTTCGTTCTGAATGTGGAAGAAACTCTCCCTACTAAGGGGTTTCGTGAAAATGTCCGCCAATTGATGTTTCGTTTGAACAAACTCAATTGTGACATCTCCCTTTTGGACGTGATCTCGTATGAAGTGATGCCAAATTTCTATGTGTTTAGTCCTTGAGTGAAGAACGGGGTTCTTCGTTAGACTAATAGTGCTCATATTGTCACACCTAATAGGGATGTGATCAAGTATAAGGCCGAAATCCACTAGTTGTTGTTTTAGCCAAAGAATTTGGGCACAACAACTTCCCGCAGCGACATATTCCGCTTCGGTGGTGGAAAGTGCAACACTAACCTGCTTCTTACTAAACCACGAGATTGACGAATGACCGAATAAGTGGCAAGTACCGCTGGTACTTTTCCTATCGAGTTTGCAACTTGCAAAATCCGAGTCGGAATAGCCAACAAGATGACATGTTGAACCTTTGGGATACCAAAGACCTACGTTCAACGTGCCCGCGAGATAGCGCATTATCCTTTTGATCGCAACCGAGTGTGACTCTTTAGGACATGATTGATACCTAGCGCATATACAAACGGAGTACATGATATCCGGTCTACTCGCGGTAAGATAAAGTAAAGAGCCGATCATACCTCGGTAGCGCTTGATGTCTACCTCTTTACCTTTTTCGTCCTTGTCGAGATAGCAAGAGGTGCTCATTGGTGTGTCAATGGATTTGGTAACATCGAATCTTTTAAGCAATTGCCTGCAATATTTCGTTTGACACACGAATGTTCCTTCTTTGCATTGTCTAATTTGCAGCCCAAGGAAGAACTTTAATTCTCCCATCATTGACATTTCAAATTCACTTTGCATCATATCGGAAAAATCCCTGCACAGAACCTCGTTAGTAGCATCGAATATGATATCATCTACGTTAACTTGAACCAAAAGGATGTCTTGGTTATCTTTCTTGATAAAAAGAGTAGTGTCGACTTGACCCCGTTTGAACTCATGGTCCAAAAGAAATTTGCTTAACCGTTCATACCAAGCACGAGGTGCTTGTTTGAGACCGTAAAGCGCCTTTTTGAGTTTGAAGACATGTTCGGGAAACTCATAGTCTTCGAAACCCGGGGGTTGTTCGACATACACTTCCTCATGAATGATACCATTAAGGAAGGAACTTTTAACATCCATTTGATAAAGTTTAAAATCCATTGTAGATGCAAATGCAAGCAATAAACGAATAGCTTCTAAACGTGCAACCGGTGCATAAGTTTCTTCATAATCAATGCCTTCTTCTTGATTGTAGCCTTTAGCTACAAGCCTAGCTTTGTTTCTAGTGATTATTCCATTTTCATC